ATATTGCTAATAATTAGGTATTTTTAGTTTTAAAAATCGATCTGTTTTTCCTGTGATATAGATTTTTTTTTCAAATTATAAACAATACCATTAGTTAGTATTTTTTTCCCTCAATTATTTTAAGCGAAACAGTGAATTTCTAACGTTACTAAAGAAATTAAGATCACATTACAGTTTGCGCAATAAAGATCTACAATTTCACATTCTTTTTATGCACTGAATTATTTTATTATTATTATTATTATGAAAATCTTTTTCTCTTTTGTTATATTCGGACTCGTGTTGTAGGGAAGAAGCAGGTTAGCTGAAGTAGTAAAGTGTAATAATAATAATAATAATAATAATAATAATAATAATATATCTAAAGCTGCAACAGTTTTCGATCTAGTTTGCAAGAGGATTATTTGATATACTTTCATTTAGTTACTAGAATTCGAACATGTAAAAGATTGAAGCATTGTTATCAAAAAAAAAAAAAAAGAAGAAGAAGATTGAAGCATTAAATTTAGCTATATCCATGACGAGAACAATAAATGTGCTGATTGGTGAAGAAATTCATATCTACCATCACTTATCTCAAGAGATTAACTTTTATGTTCTCTGCTAAAATCGTAGAGAAAAAAAAATTAGATTTAGATTGTTGAATTATGTGAAATTTATTTATTGCTTCGAGAGGCTTTTTGCCCTCCTTATTTATAAAATAAATAATAAAAAATCTGTCACGAAAATCACATTCCTTTTCAAACGTATATTAAAAATGTACTATGCCGTGGTGCTTATCTATTATACACATGTCAGCAAGCAAATCCAATTTAGGACATGGTTAATTTCTTACCCTTTTTTTTTAGTTTAGTTTTTGCAAATGCAAGGAGGTGACTCAATATCTTATAAGAGTAGAATTAATTTTTAATCAGGTTGACTCTTGGCGCCACATACTTTAATTTAAATGGGCTAATCCTGTTGTGTAGGTTCTTCAATTCAAGTTGTTTTTTTTTTCTTCTCTTTATCTTTCAATTTTTTTTTCTTATTAAACTTATAATTCGTTGAGGAAGGTTGAAAGAAGATTCGTTGGCCGACCAATTTGATAAAAGGGATTTCTTTGCTCAGTTCACTAACTACTATACGTAAGCGCATTAGCAATGATCCACCGTGACCAAAGTTGGCTTAGTAACGAAGTATAATTAATTATCGGATGATAAGCATAGAATAGTTAGGCTAACGTAACCACACTCCGTTGAAGATAATCAATCGACTTGGGCTGATCTACAAACAGTTGAGAAGGCTCATTTGGAGGTGTTCCGATGGTATTTTTTTTGTGATTTACAAGGTAACAAGTGAAAGGTATATTTGTAATGCATTCCAATGCTCAAATTAGTTATTGACATAAGTACGTTTACATATTAAAGAATGAGTTGTGTATCTTGCATGAGACACACATTTATTTATAGTATGCGTAGGATTTGCTTAGAAGTTCTTATTATCAATCTTTTATGGGTGGGTGTCAGTACTCTTGAAACTTTATGGCGGAGATACTTTTGTGGGCTACAAGTATGGTATGTGCTTGAGTAACCTTTGCATAACTTTGCAATATATTGAATCATAATGGTTAATTGGGAACTTTCTTGATGGTTTGGGTTATTTATGGGAGGGTTAAAACTCCTTGGTATAGTGGAATCTTGAGTATTGAACTTTCTATATCTTGAGCATGTTATATTGGTCCATAACATTATATATAACCCTATTTTATGAAGCTGAATTACAAATATTAAGCTCTTATATTGTTATATCTTACCTATTTATAGCCATAAATTAATATTATAACTTTTAATATTATTGGAACATAGGGAGTGGGTATTTTTTATTTTTTTTTAAAAAAAAAAAACTTGAAAGAAGCTAAATTACGATTTTGCTACTCTTAATAAGCATTAACTACTCTCAAACTTTTTATTGATTAGCCACTTATAGTGATCCTCGAGCAAAGATATATTGCTAGAATGATTTATTAACACTACTCTTGGGTTTTTAGGAAGTTTGATTGACCTCATTTGACTGGTTTTCTTTCATTCATTTTTTTGTTTGTTTTTTTTTTCATTTTTTATTATAAATTTTTGTGATGATTATTATTTATTCTTTTTTGGAAAATATTCTAATCGGTTCATTCATTCGCAACTAATCTGATTTGGGGATTAAAGCTTTAAACCCCTCCCAAAGGTGATACTGGAGAGATTCGAACACATGCTCTCACCCCTACTGCTTAGCTCTCATGCGCCAACTGAGCTACCACCATTTGGTATTTTTGTGATGATTATTGTATTCTTAAATAATGGTACATTCAATCTTTAACAGAGGCGAATATGGTGTTGAATAAAGAATAACCGATTTATAACTTGTAAGGCAGACAAATGTAGCGACAAGATTTTAGCAGTAGAATAGAATGAATGTAATTAAGAAGAATGAAAGCAAATTGAGACGTTAACCCTCATATACCCGTTGGTTCAGAAGTAAAATTTATAGTACCTTATGCAGCTGGCCTTGTTGGTACGGTAACCCATTTCATGACAGATGTCAGTACTATAAATTCCTTCTCCACATATAATTTTTAATTATTATCATTATTTTGATATATAGATATAATTCCTTTTAGACCTATAAAGGATAGCTCGAGTAGTAAACAATTTTGAGCTCATTAGTTGAGGGTCATGTACAATGTTAATAATTTAAGTTAGTAAAAAGTACTTGTAGATAGAGACAAATTCAGTATCTTGATTGTGAATTAGTTTGATGTCTAAAGAATGATAGAAAAATATTGTAATAAAAAAATTTATGCAGTTCTTTTAATATTTTGATGGGTATTGCGTGCTTCTCAATTTGCATCTTTTTTTATTTGTAGTTAAGATTAAAAGAATTCAAAATTAATAAATGAAGATCATACAAACCTATTATAAGTTGCAGTGCGCTTAAGTATTTTGATTTTATCATACAAAGTGATGATGAAATAGAGGGATATATAAAACATAGAATTAATTCAAGCTGGTAGATAAAATGAAAAAAAGTTTTGTTTTATTTATGGCTGAAAGATATGTTTCAAACTCAAAATAAAATTTTACAGCACAGACCTATGATGCATATATAATATTGATTAGTGAATGGTAAAGAGCCAACAGAAGTATGAGGTAAGTGTTGTAGAGATAAGGACGTTGTCGTAGATGAGTAGACATAATATGAAAAGACTTCTATTCTTGTTGAAATAATGAAATAAATTATACCATTAAAGTTTCTAAAAAAAATGATAATTACATCGTGAATAGTTAAAGACTGTTTAAAAGTTATGACAACTATAAAATAAAATATATTTACAAAGTAAATATAATTAATAATTCATTTTTTTCTATTTAAAATTATCACTAAATGTGTGAATCGTTATGATAATATAGAATATAGGCACAGAATATAACTTAATTAAAATTATCACAACTTATCTGCAATAGACTTTATTTTTTATTTTGGAATAGTATATTATGTCTATATTTTTTCATATCTACTCTACCTACTAATCTCCAACACCATTGAATCAGAATCTTAAAAGAAGAGAGAAACGATGAAAATTAATTGAGATTCTGATCTAACAATATTAAAAAATGAATAAGTAAAGTATGCATTAAAAAAAAGGCAAGTAGAGTATCATATCTATTTATTTTATTTACATTTTTGTTAGGGATTTTATGAACTTTTCTCGGGACCCATAGTGGATCCTTTCCTTTTTTATAAGAAAAAAAAACTAGCACTAGTTGAAGGAAAGTGATTTCTATGAGTTGTCCGAGAATCTTAAATCAACAAACCACAACAAAAAAATAATAATTCTTTCGTTTTCAAAAAGGGGCCCAAACCATGCATCTAGCTAGCTAGCTTGAATAACCATGCCCAAGGTTTTTAACCACAGTGGTTATCCTTGGTGGAGATGCATTCGGTCAATGAATTCACCAATGAAACAGAGAAGAATCTTTTTCAATTTTCACGGCCTCAACTTGGAATGTTTAGAATATATTATCACTTTTTCTATTTAAAAGAAAAAAAATAAAAATCCCAGAATTCCGAATCCACAAAACAAGCTTAATTAGTCGCTCAATATTATTGTTGCCATCCACTTGCATTGTTAAATTTGAATAATTAAATGCAATAATATGTATGTAGATCGTAGAGACATCAATTTCGCCGATATCGTACCCTTATACGCAATCTCTAGCATCCTTAGTTTGCTTTTGTTGAGACACAAAATTTGTGGGATTGCCATGTGGCGAATGGAGAGGTGGCCCCCCTCCTACTCCTACTCTCTCTCTCTCTCTAATCTCTCTTTATATATATTCTTTTTGTTTTGGTCATAACTTGAGCTTAATATTCTTCTTAAGATTCTTCATCATAATGATCTACCACTATTATATAGCCGGTCATGCATAGTTATCTTATACATATACAAAGGGGTGAGACTTTACATTACATATATATACATTTTTAGGTATAGACAGACAGACATCCCAAAGTCAGTAGCATTTGTACCCCCCAACACTTCAATTAATTCTATATATAACAAAAGAATAATATACCCTTTTGTGTCTCTTTCTGTCTTTCTTTCACTCCCTCCCACTGTATTGAATTCATCTTTATATGTTGCTCTCAGATTGAGTACTACTTGATGTTTTTTGTTGTGCTGTTTGTTATACAAGAAGCAGCTAGCATATTCTCTATAAACTAAACACTGCACTCATAACTGAGAGGTTCTACTTAAACATACAAGAAAAATAAAAAGAGATTTCTAGAATCGCATGCTCAGCTAATCATTCTCTTTACAAGTAAGGTGAGTACTTCTTCTACTTCTTAATGCCCTTTCTCTCTCTCTCTCTCTCTATGTATATATATATATATATGTATGAACTCTAACCTTAATTAAACTTTTATGTGATGTAAAATTATAGGATCACATACTAAACAAGTGAACCAACAACATGGAATATGGTGCCTTAGTGCACAATTCTGCATTTGGGAACTTGTCAGACTCTGCCACAGTTACAGAAGGAGAATTCATTGATGAGCTTTTGGTTGAAGGTTGCTGGTTGGAAACAAGTGCTGGTGGATCCTACAACTTCATGCAACAACCATGTGGTAGTGTTGTTGTGACGGAGGCTTCACAACAACACTACTTGGGAGCTTCAGAACAGTCCAATCAGCAGCAGCAGCAGCAAATGTTCCAACAAGAATCAGAGGAAAGTTTTGTTGTAGGGAAGAGATGGTGGATTGGACCAAGTGCGAATCCTGAGCCATCTTCTTCTGTGAAAGAGAGATTAGTGGTTGCTGTAGGGTACTTGAAAGAATACACAAAGAACGCTAATGTGTTGATTCAGATATGGGTGCCCTTAAGGAGAGGACTTGATCAGTATCATAGAAATGTTTCCAATCCAGATGAGGGTGTTTCAGTTGGTTTTCCTATGAGTCCTAATGCTAACCCAAACCCCAATGTTTACGTTCGCTTCTTTAGAAGCAACGTGTACCCGCGTGTTCATGATGGTCGTGGATCTTTGGCTCTTCCTGTATTCGAAAGAGGTAGTGGAACTTGCCTTGGTGTCTTCGAGTTTGTAATGACCAACCAAAGCATCATCAACTACCGCCCACAACTTGAGAATGTCTGCAATGCTCTCGAGGTTTTCATCTTCTTCTTCTTCTTTAGAAGGAAATTATATCCAACTATTACTATCCTAGTTATGTAGATGATAAATATATAATATAAAATGACGAATTGAATGTATAGTATACTTTTGCCCCCACCATCTTTTCACCTTTCTTCTATCTTTTAAGGGTCTCAATAATTGCTGGCATATATATAGTAGTTTTCTTAAATTCTGAAGACCAATATATGGTATAATAACAAAAGTACGTGTACGTACTTACATGTTATGTATGGTTTTGCTTAATTCACATCTTAATGATTTCATCAAAGGTTTTGATAAAATCTGGGACTAATTATTAATTCAAAAACCTCTCTCACATAAAAGCGTATCTAATGATTTGCAGGCTGTTGATTTTAGGAGTTGTCAAAACTTCATTCCACCTGCTGTAAAGGTACGTAGAACCTTACCTTTGTACGTATATATCCAAGTTTTAACAAACAATAATGTTTTGATGTTATTAATGATTAATGATCAGGTATTTGACGAGTTGTACCAAGCAGCACTGAATGAGATAGTGGAGGTGTTAACATCTGTGTGCAAAACACACAATTTGCCTTTAGCTCTGACTTGGGCTCCTTGTATACAACAAGGAAAGTGTGGCTGTGGTCATTCAACTGAGAATTATGTGTGTTGTGTGTCCACTGTGGATTCAGCATGTTTTGTTGGGGATCTTGACATATTGGGATTCCAAGAAGCATGCTCTGAGTATCACCTTTTCCGAGGTCAAGGAATAGTTGGAACAGCTTTCACAACCACCAAACCTTGTTTTGCTATTGACATAACTGCGTTTAGCAAAGCTGAATATCCTCTTTCTCACCATGCAAAGATGTTTGGGTTGCATGCTGCTGTGGCTATTCCTCTTAGGAGTGTCTACACTGGATCAGCTGATTTTGTGTTGGAGTTTTTCCTACCAAAGGATTGTCATGACACTGAAGAACAGAAGCATATGCTCAACTCATTATCCATGTTGGTTCAACAAGCTTGCCGTAGCTTGCATGTTGTCATGGAAGATGAATTCACGTTACCACAAGCACCACCACCACCACCACACAATAATAAAGAAGAAATTAATACTCATCGTGCTTCACAATCACAAGTTGAACCATGTTCAAAAGAATCATCATGGATTGCACATATGATGGAGGCACAAGAACAACAGAAGGGGAAAGGTGTGTCTGTGTCATTGGAATATTTGGAAGAGCCAAAAGAGGAATTTAAAGTAACAACAAACTGGGATAGCACTGATCAGGATCAGGATCAGGAGCATGTGCAAGCGCAGGTGTTTTCAGATTTTGGACAATTTGAGCAAAGTTCAGTGTCCAGATACAGAACAAGTGTAGAGGGTGGGGAAGAATCTTATACATTCGGTGGACGCCGTTCATCTTCTGGTGGCAGAAAGTCAGGTGAGAAGAGAAGAACCAAAGCAGAGAAGACTATTAGTTTACCAGTTCTTAGACAATACTTTGCAGGAAGCCTAAAAGATGCTGCAAAGAGCATTGGTGGTGAGTTCATGACTTCAAACTCTTAACTAATTAAAATATAAAAAGTAAAAAACTAAAAGTTATTACTTTAGTATTGAAGTGATTTTGTGTATATATTTAATTTCTTATTCTTATTGCTTTGCAGTATGTCCCACAACTCTCAAAAGGATATGCAGACAACATGGGATAACTAGGTGGCCTTCAAGGAAAATCAAGAAAGTAGGCCACTCTTTGAAGAAACTTCAACTTGTGATTGATTCAGTCCAGGGTGCTGAGGGTGCCATTCAAATTGGTTCCTTTTATACCAGTTTTCCAGAGTTGAGTTCTGCTGATGCTTCTACCTTTAGGCATACTGATTCATCTAAGAAAATGCATACTTATACTGATAATGTCTTGTATGGGCATGGAGATGGAGTTACTAGTTTAAAATCCCCACCCTCTTCTTGCAGTCAGAATTTTGGTCCAACCATAAACCAACCTTCCACTCTAATCAACACTGTATCTGTATCTAATAATGGGGATGTTCTAATGACAGAAAGCACTGTTCCTGATGCATTGCTAAGGAGAACTCATAGTGAAGCTGAGTTGCATGTATCAATACAAGAGGATACAAAACACTTCACAATACCCAAGAGCCAAACTCTACCTCCCTTGTCTGAAAGTAGTGGCTGGAACTCTCGAGAAAGGGGTGCTTTTAGAGTCAAAGCTACTTTTGCTGATGAAAAAATCCGTTTTAGCTTGCAACCCATTTGGGGCTTCAGAGATTTGCAGCTTGAGATCGCAAGACGTTTCAATCTTAACGATGTAAGCAACATAGTCCTCAAGTATTTGGATGATGAAGGGGAGTGGGTTGTTTTAGCATGTGATGCTGATCTTGAGGAGTGTAAAGACTTACATAGATCATCACAGAGCCGCACAATTAGACTCTCCTTATTTCAAGCTTCACCTTTGAATCTAGCAAATACTTTTGGTAATAATAGCCCATCCTAACACCAATTATGTGGCTTTCTTTAGCTTAAAGTGGGGGTGAGTGTGTATACTGTGTAGGATCCCAAGCACACATGACGGTCATATACATTTTCTGATTTTACTTATGAGAGTTGGCGGCTTTGTCAGATTACCTGATGTTTAGAGCAATGAAAAGTGAGAACCATTTTATATCTGTTACTTCTCTTATTTATTTTGAAATAATGCCAAGATTACCCACACTTCTACACTTTATGCACATGCCTACAAAGAAGGGTGGCAATTGCTTACCCATCCAATTCCATATAACCAAGCATAGCTTCCAGGCTAGCTAGTTCAACATTAGATTATTTCTCTCGCTTAGTTTTTCCCCCCTTTAACAATTATCTAGTAGACAGGATAGAGTAGCATTGGAATAGTGTAAACTTAATTCTTGACCATGCGTGCAATGCAACTCGATTTTTTAACAATCTAAGTAGTTGAAAATTTCGGCTTTTATAAATGAGTTAATTTTGAGTTTTTACATGTTCAACTTATTAGTTCGTGAGTTTTTTTTTTGATACAATAGTTCGTGATATATATATATATATATATATATATATATATATATATATATATATATATATATATATATATATATGGAATAGGATCAAGTTACACCGGTGTAAGAATAATAAATCTTACACCAAATCTTAACCGTTGATTTTCGTGCATCCAACGGTTGAGATTTATTGAGAATTAAATTTAATTAATGAGTGAAACCTAATAAATCTTAACCGTTAGTACAGAAAATCAATGGTTAAGATTTGGTGTAAGACTTATTATTCTTATACGGTGTAAGATGATCCTGCCCCTATATTTTAACTCTAAAGTAAGACTTACAAATCTTACTCTCCATTTTAATCGTCGATTTCCGTCCATCTAACGGTTATAGTTTAGAAAATTGTACTAATTAATTAATTATTAATTACACTACAAATGAAAACTGTTGAGATGGGAAATAAGACTTAGAAGTCTTACTCTGAAGTCAAAAGAACCCTCCCTATATATATATATATATATAGTTAGAGATCTCAAAAGAACCCTCCACACACACACACATAGTTAGAGATATCGTTTAGTGAACTTAAAACAACACTATCACAAATATTTATATGTTTGATTGATCTTTTATTAGACAATGCTATATAATTTATTGTTTTTCATATTAAAATATTTGAATTGATATCATTTTTTATAAGTATATAAGTATATTTATAGTTTTTTAAATATAATTATAAATTTATATATACTTAGTGAGTCATGCAATTGAACCAATGACCTACTAGTTAAACCAGTAATTCAGTGACCAGTGACCCAGTACCTCGACCGGGTCAATAATCAGACCATGTTTAATAACATTGATTTGATTTGTTCCCTTGAAAATATATTTGGTTTATTTTCTGGTAAAATGAATAAAATAAAATTCAAATACATGTTCAGAAGCTAAATAAACAAACAAACAAGTAGGATTGTAGTTGACTTTATTAAAGTACATTTAATTTCTCTAATTGTTTTCTTTCTTGTGATTATTTTCTTGCTAATTATTTTCTTATACAGACCCTATATGGTAAATTTTAATTAGAGAATTAATTTAAAGATTTAAATGCCATAATTAGATTTAGGGCATGATTTCGAGTATTTTGACTGTAAATATGACTGGATCATGAACAGTGCATTCTGTCGAATTTTCTACATTGTTGTGTAGCAACCCGGTAGAACTCAGAATGAGCAAAATGAGTTTAGAGACCTAATTTGGCAATTCTGATGCCAAATATGAGTTAGAACGAAAAATTGTATAGTCTGACACTTTCCGTGAAAATCTCGTGAATAACATTTCTGCCGGGTATTTTGTACCGCTGTTTAAGCAACCGGTAGAGTCCAGAACGAAATAATTGATGAAATCAGAATAAGAAAGTCCAATATATGCCAAACAAGTCATAGTAGACCTAAAAATGATAAGTTTATAAGTTCTAAGTTTCGTATGCAAATGGTGCACAGTTAGTGATTCACAGTGCATTTTGTCAAAAACGGTGCAGAAACCATACTGTGAATTGAAAATATTATTCCTTAGAAAATAAAAATTAATGTAAATGAGTTCAGAAAAATAAAAATATTTTCGTAGCTTTAAGTTAGTTCCAGGTCAATTAAGTGGAATTACGCGAGAGAGAAACAACCGGTAAAAGATTACACATCATTATAACTTAAGTTTCCTTCCACTTAGCACTATTCACATCAGCACCCTCACCTTCTCTCTCTTCTGGTCGAAATTCCACCATGGATGGGGTTTGGGTTTTCAATTCTTTTTCCTTGATTTCTCACACAAACAACCACCAAAATACAAAGTGTTATACATGAAACTTTAAGTGGAAATCGTTGTGCATCCATTCCACCCATTTGTTTGGACTGAAAAGGCTTGTGTGAGAAGCTCTCTCCTTCTCAAATTTCGGTCACCATTCATCCTAGAAAGAGAAGTGGATTTTTGGGTGGAACCAAGCTTGGATTTTGTTTTCCAAGCCTTGTATAGGTGATTTGAGGTAAGAGATCCTCGTTCCAAGGGTTTAAATGCCATGATTTAAGTTTTGAATACTATGAGCATGTGTTATGGAAAATTTTGGAGTTTAAAATTTGAAATTGATGATGAATTAGTATTGTATACGAAGTGTTAAGGTGAGATAAGCATGAAAATGTGTAGAAAGTTTGAAAAGTCCCTTGCTCCTCCTCCCACTAGGTTCGACCATGATGGTATATAAGGGTTCTTTGTGCAAAAATTTAATTGCTTGGTTGTGAAGGTTGTTAGGTTAGTGTATGTTGAGGATTAAGTGTTAAAGTGAGAATTTAAAGAGGTATATCCCTTGGAAACCTCCTTGGAGCTTTCGGCCATTATGGTTCCAATGGGAGATGATTGTGTAAAAAATTATTTTGATGATGTGTGTAGGTTCCGATGCATGGCATTGATATGATCTTGAAGTGAAATGACTTAAGAAATAATGAGACACCTTGGTTCCTTTGTATGGGTCTCATCGGCTTTGTGAAAGAAGAATATGCCCAAGTTGTACTTAAAACTGTTAAATGGATGCCTAGATAACTTAGGAACCTTTGGTTGTGTGAGATGAATAGATAAAAATTATGAGCTTCCCCTTGGTCTTGGATTCGGCCATATAGGGATTTGTGGGTCTAGGAAATGTTAAAATTTGTAAATGATATTTAGAAGCTTGGTTGGGTCATTTTAGGACCCTATGTGAGTATGAAACCATGTGAGTGCTTATGGTTCAAATAATCACCCTTAAAATGGTCTAACAAAGGAGTTTAAGAAATTACGGCCTTGACTTGTGAATTGGCATATGTTTGGCATAAGTGTGAAGAAAGGAAAGTAAGCAATAAAATTTATGCCTTGTATAAATTGCATAGCATTGTATCATTCGATTGATTTTTGTTTTGAATTCTTTCTCTAGGTGTGCCTAGGGACTGAAAGGGTTTGGATCCTGTTGGAGCTATATAAGTAACTTGTGCTACAAGTAAACGAATTGGTAAAGCTTCAAGAAGTAAGCTCTATGTTTAATGAGTCTTTTCCTACTTGAGTGCTCCACCATGGTTAGCGGACTATGGTTGGATTGTATGATTGTATTTGATGCTTTGTATAGATGCATTCATATAGAGTTATTTGATAATATGATATGTTTTGTTCTGATGTGATTTCTGTAATGATCTCTGGCCATTGATTGTATGTGCACTGATGTCTGCTTGGGGTCCTCCCTCAGGACTGACTGTGTACACCTCTGATATGTTTTGGTTTCGCTTGGAGTCCTCCCTTGGGAACACGCGCATTGATTTTCGCTTGGGGTCCTCCCTTGGGAATGACTGCATACGCCTTTGATAAGATATGTATATTGTTCAGTTATGATATGTTATATGATGTTTTGTATACTCTGTATCTGACTCTTATGCAGAAGTGGGCCCAAGGCAAGGGTATGAAAAATTCTCTATAAACCTGGAGCTTATTGAGATTTGTTATCTCTCCTCATTTGGGAACATCATTTCAAGTGTTCAGATTCCCGGTGAGCCCTCACGAGGCAGGGAAACGGATCGTGGCTAGAGGGGTTGCGACGAACCGAATTTTGGAGTAGCTATAGGCTATTGATATTTGGTGGATATTTATGTTACTTTAGTATTTTGTTATTTTGGGATCATGATGTCTGACTCATTCTTGTATATGGCATGTATATGTTTTGTACATGTCTTTTAGTTTGATGCATGTATAATTGTGTATTCAGGCATGCTTATATTATGATGTAGTATTCAGTTATATGATTACATGTTGGATATGCATGCTGTTAGACATAGTGGCACGGAGCCAAGTTATGCATGCGCCCATGAATGGGTATATGGTCCTATATGGATATCTGGTATTTCTGAAATCATATATTGTATAAATTGTTTATCAGGATACCTTGAGAGTGAAACTTGCAAATCACGGTTTGTCCGATTTACAGACGTCACTCTGTCCGATTTTCGTCTCCGTCAAATAAAAATTAAACTAGAAGATATATGCAATGTGATATATCATGTGAAAAGGATTAAAGAAAAGAAAAAGTTAACTCGTATTTTTCTAAGTTAAGACTTCCGTTGTTTCTATTTAGTATCATATGTATGTAAATTAAACCGACTCGAGACGGGATGTTACATTTCTCTTGTATGTCTATTTAATTGCATTATTAATACATTTTCTTAAATTAGGATATTGTGTTAATTTGGAAAAAAAAATAAAAGTTAAAAGTTAACTTTTCAACAATAAAAAAAGTTGACTGAGTCGTGATTATTTACTAATCCTATAATACTTTTTAAGGATAACACATCTGTATTAACGTTATAATCCGAATTTTTTAAAATAAATAAAATAAATTCCCTAAAATAAAATCAAACCTTTCTCTACAATTAAAATCAGCAAGCAATTTTATTTTTTTAGAGAACGTGACTTTGAATTT